GACATAAGCAACAATGTGTCTAATGTTGAACACATTGTCATGTGAAAGGCAGTTGCCCCAAAAGCCCACATGCTTCATGGTTCCATTTCTGTGATATTTGGACAAAGGTAAAGCTTTAGAGATGAAGCAGACATCGGTGATTGACAGGCAGGAAGCAGGGTTAGGGGGAGGAGAGCAGCTGACTCTCAGAGTCAAGAGGACAGGATGGGGGAGCAATAAAAACAATATATCATCATCACAGTGTGTTCACAGGATTGTGAGTTTGTTGAGATTTAAGGAGTTTTCACTAAAAGGGTGAATCTTACTGTATTTGATTTTGAAAAAAAATGAGTGTGATGTTTGACGTGACTGTATCACTGGGTCAGGAGTTCAAGTTCACCTAGTACTGTTTGGTGCTGGGCTATATGGTCCAGTGGATTATTGGGATACACAGGAGGCTCAAGGGTGCACAACTGAGTCACAGCCATTTTTCTAGCCACCTTCAACCACAGCATCGTCCTTGTGCCTCTCACACTCATAGGTTTCAGAGCCTAAGGATTGCCCTCTGCCATGCTGCCCCTGTTCCCAGACACAAGCAGGAGGCAGGGCCGAGGAGTCTGCGGATGATCTGGACAGGCAGAGGATGACCTAGATCTCTCTCCTGGGACACTGTGCTGTTTCCCCGGCCAGTTGTTCATTCTTCACTGCATCTTAGAGTCCTCACTTCTTCCTCCATATATATTCTGTGGAGCAGCCTTGTGGGTACTGCCCGGACTAGTGACGTGGAGTCTAATCTGCCACTAGAGTCATCAACCTCATTGGCATCGTTCTCCATCTCTAAAATGGGACAATAATAAACCTCTTTCATTTCATGGGGAATCAAGGATTAAATGATACAAGTTTGTGTAGCACATGGCCCAGCACCTGACATAGTGACCCTGTGAGGAATATAGTGATTTTCTTGGTTCTGGTCCTTATTACATCGGTAATACAATGAACTGTTTGTGTGCATGTCCCCTATTGCCACAGGCAGGGAACATCATGAGGCCAGGAGCTGTGTCTTGAAGAGGTTAGTGTCTCCAAGTGTCTAGCATAGGACCTGAGTGTAAAAGATGCCTCCTGAAGTTTTCAACCAAGTGGACAGATTCAGCTGTGACATTGGGTTAGTGGGGATGCTGAAGACCCTGGCCATTACAGAAAGCAGCCAGGTCAAAGCTTACTGGGGTGGGGCTCACTGGCATGAGCTTCACACACAGCTTTCCTGTCTCTACCCTCCTCCAGGGTGGAGCCCAGGCATGGAATTGAGTGTCTCAAGATCCCCAGCAGCTCCTCTGTCCTGCTTTACAGTCAGCCACCGCCTGCTCCAGTCAGCCCGGGTTCACCTGCCTGCGCTCTCTTGTACAGGGACAGAGATTCAGGCATGGGGCTGGGGTGGGAACAGGATCAGAATGTGGGGACTTGTCTGTCTTTCTAGCTGTATAAATACCAGGCACAGAAGGCACTAAAGTTAGCCTCCCTGGCGCTAAAGAATGACAGCTGGAAGTCTCTGTCCATGGTCCTGCTTTGAGCCCCTAGTTCGTGGGGGATACTGATGAGGATGCTGAGGACATTGCATTCATCCGGATATACATTTAGGAGACCGGTTATGTCTCAAAAGATTGGACTGGGTGATTAAGGAAGAGTGAATAGGGATAAAGGTCACTTCCTGCTCTCAGACTCCCAAAGCCAACAATACTCATGTAGAATGAGGTGGATTGGGTTTAGCTGGAGCACATGGAGAAGATCCAGGGTTGGTACAGCCAAGATGCATGTACAGAGGCTTGTGGTGCAGAGCAGGGATGGCGGCCGATGCTCTTGTTCTGTGGCAGCCAGCCTCACCTTGGGTCTAGTGTTCAGTTCCGACAGGCACGTTTTCAGGTGGACATGTCGAGCCAGTCATGTCAGTGGATGGTAATTAGGATGATGGGGTGATCTAGCACTAGTTTGTGTAAGCAGTGGGTGGAGAGACTTTGCTTAGGGAGTACAGATGTGCTGAGGTCACAATAGAGGCAATCCCTAAAGGCTCTGTGTGGGGGAGATTGGACCCATTCTGTGTATCTCTAATGTAGCACTGCCCTTTAGAAATTCCTGCAGGAATTGAACTGTTGTTATATGTGAGCTATGTGATAGATAACAGACTTATGTGGCTGTGTGTACATGGCTCTGTGTGTGTGTGTGTGTGTGTGTGTGTGTGTGTGTATGTGTGTGTATAGTGTAGGTGTATGATCATATATGTATATACATTTGTGTCTGCATGTGTACAGGTATCTTTTTGGCTGCTCTCCACATCACTTTATGAGATAAGATCCTTCACTGAACTTGGAGCTCACAGATTTGTACAGTCTGGTTGGCTAGCCAGTCCCAGGAATCCCCCTGTTTCTGACTTCCCCATTCTGGTATTACCATGTTTCACAGCTGTTACAGGGATGCTGGGATTAAAATCAGGGCCCCCATGTTTGTGTGGCTTTACCACCTGAGCCATCTCTCCAGATCCCCCCCCCCTTTTTTACAGTTAACAATGACTGCAGATTGAATTTTAGACAATACAATTTTAAAGTGAAGTATTAGCCCACTTGGTCAGGGCCTCTGTATGGGAATACCAATCCTTCAACCTGTGGGACGCGCCCCTTTGACAAACCTCTATCACCAAAAATATTTACATTCCAATTCATCACAGTAACGAAATTATGTTACAAAGTAGCAATGACAATAATTTTATGTTGGGGGTCACTTCAACATGAGGATTGTATTAAAGGGCTGCAGCATTAGGGAGGTTGAGAACCACTGCTCTGGAGGGCAAATACAAGAACAGATCAGGGACCAACTATTTCCTCTAAAAAACATGTTAGCAGACATATTTGTCTCACCCCGCCTCAGAGTCTTCAAAAGCAATATACAGAAAGAGAAATGAGCATGACAAAGCACCAGCAAAACTCTGTCCATGGACACCAAGGTTTTAATTTAGCATATTTTTTACATGTTACAAAAACAGTATTTTTCTTTTGATGCTATTTTTCAACTCTTTAAAAAAAAATGTGAGAGTCATTCTTAGCCCACAGGTCATGAGAGAGTGGGTGTCAGGCTGTCCTGGCCTGCAGGCTGTGGCTCACTGCTCTGGCCTTGGCTGTGGGTAGATGCTTTAGGGAGAATCATAGGTCAGTCCAGTAAAGAGGATGCTCAGCTTGACAGAGCCAGCGGCAGATGGAGCATCCTGAGAAGTCCTGGCTAGATAACCAACTGTCCATCAAAGGTGGTACAGGGAACGTCCTCTGGGCACAAGCTATGCCGGTGTGTTCCTCTAGTTCTGTAGCCATGTTGAAGTGAGGAGACTTAGGGATGCTGTAAATACACTGCTTTGCAGAGTAAAGTCACCCACACTCACTTGGCTCTTCGTCTCAGCCACGTGGGGCCTGGTTAGGAGCTCTCTGGGTGCTAAGCTGGCTTCCTTGCTTCATTATTTTTACCACATATTCAGGGCTCCCTGAGATGTACCTTAGTGGAGGTTATGCTCATTTATACTCAGTAGGTGTGGTAGACATCTTTCCCTTACTGTAACTAAATACTTGAGATAACTCATAAGGAAGAAAGGTTTAGGTTAACTCCTGGTGTCATCCAATGCTTCAGCTCATGGTTTATTGGCACTGTGATTTGGGGCCTGTGGTCAGGCAGAACATCATGGAAAGGGAGCCACATGGTAGAGGAGACCTGTTCACCTCTTGCACTGTCAAGTGGTCAGGAAGGAAAACAAAACAAAAACAGCCTAATAAAACTGAAAAGGTCTTCGCTTCACTATGCCCCAATTCTTAAAGGTTTTTACTACTCAACACAGCAGCGGGCTGGGATGTAGCTCCATGGGCCGAGTGCTTCCTTAGCATGGAGTGGTGGAGCTCTGAGTTACATCCCCAGCACTGCATGAATGGAGTGTTGGAAGCACGCACATGTGATCTCAGCATTTAGGAGGTGGAGGCAGGAGAATCAGAAGTTCAAGGTCAACCTCAGATCTATAGTAAGTTGGAAGCCAGCCCAGGATACGTGGACCCCTGTCTCAAAAATAAAAAAAAAAATCCACCCAACCAAATCACCCAACCAACCAAACAATCTAACAAAAACCAAACCAAGAGTGCCACGGCCTGGGCAGCAACCCCTTAACACATGGATGGGTCTTCAGATAACATTCAAGATCCCAACTATAGCAGTGAGGAGACTTTGCTGAGAATATCTGAAGCCTCCACCCTCCGCCCCACCCTGCCCAAGAAAGGAAAGTCCCTGGGTCAAACACCTCTGTGTTCTGCTATTTAGGCCCCTGTAGCAGACAGCATGGCTGGGTCTTGAGAGCCTTTACCCTCATTTGGTTCCTTCTGTGGATGGGACATGCCTCATCCTGTGATGGCTGAAGGTCTCCCCCACTTCCCATCCTCCTCCTCTGACAAATGGGGAGCCACAGCTCCAGCTGAGCTTCAGAGTGTGCAGTGGTGGGCATGGCCTGCCCGGGCTGCTGATCTAGTCTTGGGACATTTAGAGTTGTCATTGTTTCTCATCATGACAACTTAGCTTCCCTTTCTTTCCTCCTTTTCCCCTGACTTCTTTATACTTACTGTCGGCATTTCTGCCAAACAAACAGATAAATCAATAAACTGCAGTGCCTGTCCGAGAAGATGCTGGAAGTGTTACATTTTTATGCCTTTACCAAGCTTAGCTCCATCAGACTAGTTTTTCCTACATCTTTGTACAGGCTGCATAAGGAATAGAAAAGATTTTAAAAAAAATGTTACTTGGGAAGTTTCAAAGCAAACGTCATAGGCAGGAGACAACAAACCCATGTGCCCATTGCCAGTTTCGGCAGTGGCTAGCTCCCGGCCAGCTTTGTGTGGCCTCCACCATGTCCTCTCCTCCTATGGTGTCTGGGGACAGAGCCGCAGGGAGTTTTGGGTAGCGGCACAGATCACATGTGCACAGTATTGACTGTCTGTGTTCTCTTTCAGATAATCGCCTTTGATGAGTTGAGGACGGACTTTAAGAGTCCCATAGACCAGTGCAACCCTGTCCACGCGGTAAGTGGTGGTGCTGGTGGTGGGCAGGGAGTGTCCCCACAGGTCACCAGGCTTGTGAAGGACAGTGGAGGTTTTAAAGAGCAGAATAAAGGAGAACACACTGTCCTGGTCCTGCCTCTGTTCCTTGCTGATAGTTGTTACAGGCTAAGCTCCTGCAATACGGTGCCAGTCAAATGTGGCATTTCCTGTAGCCCGGGGTCGGGGGGATCTGCTGTACTGTGGTGCTGAGTCCTCAAGCCTGGTACCAGTGATGTTTGGTTCCTTATCTGTGGCCATAGACAAAGGCTCTGTGTTGGCTAGCATGTCTGTAGGGTATGTATGGATCACTTGCTCTTCGGGAGGCGGTCAGTGACTGGGTTTCTCATGGAGGGTAGACAGATGGATGCAGCACCAGGTACAGCCCCATTATCTGGCGGGCTTTCATCTCTGGTGCCTGTGGCTTGGAGTCAGCTTGTTGTGCACCAGGGAATCTGGTGCAGTCTAGTTGATGAACTCTGGGTTCCATTTCTGGATGTAAGGTCTGGAACCCAGCTCTGCCCATCTCCAAAGCCCATCTTATGACCATCAACTCAAGCTGGCTCTTGAAAAGACTTGGCTTTATAATATCTAAGCCCCGCTTTAGTGTAACAGTCTTTGATTCTGTAAAGTAGAGCCAAACTATTTCAAAGTCAGCTATAAAAAGCAAACTGGGTTAGTTCAAAGTACCCCTAAGAACCACTTGAAAACTTAGTATATTTCATAAAAGTTGTAATTTTATTCTCCTCTACCAATCGTACCCTACACCTGTGATAGCTTGACTCTGCCAGGCCTGAATGGTGTTTGCCTAGGGGCTCATGTCTTTCTGGACACTGAATTTGGCACCAACAGCACACACCTGCTCATCAGTACCCATAGGTGCTCATGGTGGCTCAAAGCCAAGCGTGTTCATTTCCAAATGGTCAGGAGCCTGAGCTTCCTCCTCCAGCTTATCTGGAGTTTTCTGGTAGGATTCCTGAGCAGAATAAATGGGGAAATTTGTCCAGACCCTTGTTTCTATCATGCCAGTTCCCTGCCAGGTCATAGGCACCTGGTGAAACCTGGAGTCTGTTTTTGGCTTATCAGGACAAATCCTTTATTTAGGCATTACGTTAGGACTTGTGTAGCATGAATCTTAAACATTCTTATTAATAAAATCAAACCTGAGCCTGGTATTGGGGTGAACGCTGGAAGATCAGAGAGACAGAACAGGCCACAGCCACCTCACCTCGCCAGTTCCTCAGCTGATCCTGTTTCCTCAGACTGGAAGCCTCTGAGTCCTCATCCAGAATGAATCTCAGCTGAACTGCTGCTCCAAAGCCTGAAAGCTTAACCAGCTAAAAGCTTCTAGTTTCTGGTCCTCACGCCTTATATATCTTTCTGTTTTTGCCATCACTCCCTGGGATTAAAGGCTCACTTCTTGGGATTAAAGGCGTGTGTCACCATGCCTGGCTGTTTCCAATGTGGCCTTGAACTCACAGAGATCCAGAGGGATTTCTACCTCTGGAGTGCTAGGATTAAAGGTGTGAGTGCCACCATTTTCTAGCCTTTGTATCTAGTGGCTGTTCTGTCTCTGACCCCAGATAAGTTTATTAGGGTACACAATATTTTGGGGAACACAATACCACCACAGACTTGCATACCCCCCACCCCTTAGTGGGAAGGTAGATTCTTCTGGAAAAAGATAGTGCAGAAACAGTAGTCACTAGGTAGCATCCAGAACTATTTGCCAGAGACAGAAATGGATACTGAAATATGAAGGTATGGACCTCTACACCTTACTCTTCCTAAGCTGCTGGGGTAGAGTCCAAGCCTTTGGAAACACATAAGTGCTTTACCACTGAACTACATCCCAGCTCTGTTTTTTTTTTTTTTTGTAAACTCCTATTACAGCAACATTTCTAATTAGTTATCAGATTAATTAAGGAGCTGAGTTCTGTGAAGCCCAGACGCGGACAGACCAAAGCCTGAGGTGCCCCTGGAGAAGAGGGATTAAAAACAAAACTGAAAAGTCCTAAAGGCTGTAATTAGGCGAGCATGTCGACATGTTATGATTTTCCCTGTTGTGGGGACATTATGTCCCAGCAGGGAACGAAATGCTTCAGCTACTGCATGTAACTGTCTCCAGTCCTCTGGCCTCCTGAAACCTCCAGAGAGAGCAGCGTTCAGGCCCTGAGACTTACACACTTGCCTCACTGGTTGACAGTTCTGGCGCTTGAGGAACTTGGGTCCCAAGAACTTGCTGACTGTGCAGTGCATTTCTTAATGAGGGCATGAGATCCATTTGATTTTTTTCTTTCTTTTTTCCCCCGTTTTCTTAGGGTAGGCACAGAACTGAGATCTTTGGACAAGCTAGGGAAGTCCTCTGCCACTGAGCTATGACCCATGCTCCACAGATTAAAGATGCCCTAAAGCTTCAAGTATTGGTGGAAGTTTTGGTGGACCTCTTCCAGGGCAGGAAAGTTCCCTTCCCATCCTCCACCCCCGCTGGGACGTCTCTGTCACAGGGAGGGACAATGTTTTCCTGCAGGGCTCTGGCTCGCTGGAGCATATGTGTTTCTTGCTTGTGTATGCATCTGTATGAGTTCTCTCACATGTATAACTTGTCTTCCCTGCCACGTGGGCAATAACTCATCCTGATGTGGCTCCTTCCTCTGGGTTTATGGGCTGCACAGAGATCACTGTATTTATGATTCAATTAGGGAAACTGAAGTGTCCCAGCCACCTGTCCTCTTCTGATCCACGAGGAAACTCATTACCATTATGTCTACAGCGACCAAATTGCTTCGGTAATGAAGCACCAGAGATGCCACAGCTGTGTTCAGCGTGGCTCAGAAATCTTGACAGTTATAGCAGAGAAAGGAAGCTGGGGCACGTAACGTCTGCTGTGGGCAGAATCCTCTGCTCAGCTTCATAGCGTCTTTCCCTGGAACTGAGCCTGTCCTTGGAGACAGATGGACCTGACTTCTAGAAAAGTCATAGCCCAGGGCACAATTGGTAGCCTGACTCCAGGGAGGACATGTTTCCTCCAAGTACACTCACATAGAGAAGGCAACACAAGATAGTATCCACTAGTAAGGATACAAGCTTCCTGCTCTTAGGGATCCAGTGAGGTGTCCTGTGCCGGAGATACGCAGTGAGCATATGGTGGCCACTCTGCATCCAGACCATCTGCTGTGTATGCATGGAGACTTTGACTCTAGGAAAATGAATGCTGGGTGGGGAAAGAAGAATGCATGCTTCTGCCAGGAGTGTTCTTTTTTAAAAATAGATATGTTATGTGTGTGCATGCTCATGTGTGTGTGCACATGTGTGCTGAGGCTAGAGGTTGATGTTACATGTCTTCCTTAGTTTCTCTGCACAGTTTTATTCATTTGTTTGTTTTGTTTCTGCTTTTTAAAGTGGGCTCTGTTATAGGGCTGGAAAGATGGCTCAGTGGTTAACATTCTGTACTGTTCTCACAGAGGACCTAAATTTGGTTCCTAGCACACCCATAGGTTGTAACTCTAGCTACAGAGGATCTGATGCTCTCTTCTGGGCTCTGTGGATACCTACGTTCATGTGCACATACCCATACTTTTACACACACACACACACACACACACACACACACACACACACACACACACATCACACAATTAAATCATCATCATAATAAAAGACAGGGTCTCTCAATGAATCTGGAAGTCTTGGATTTGGCTAGACCAGCTGGTGAGCAAGTCCCAGGGATCCTCCAGTCTCTGCCTCCCCAGCACTGAGATGAAGGATGCATACCTCGGCAGCTGGCTCATTACATGGGTTCTGGGGTCTGAACTCAGGTCCTCATGCCTGCAGTGGCAAACACCTTACCCCCTGAGCCATCTGCCCTGGAGTTCTTTTAAGGATGAATTTCCACTAGGTATGGTGGCTCATGCCTGTAAAACCAGCACTTGGGAGGCTGACACAGGAGGAGTTTCATGAGTTTGAGGCCAACCTAGGTTAGACAATGAGCTCCATGATAGCCTGTGCTACACAGTAAGACCTTGTCTCTAAAAAAAACCCCAACAAAACAATAAAAGAACAGAAAGCAAGTGGTTCTGATGAGGTAAAAGCAAGCTCAGACTCTACTGGGAAGAGCCATTGGTATGTACCTCGGATGAGTCTCTGGGGGGTTCTGCTTCCTCTGCTGGGGTGATTATGCACGTCTCACACTCTCAGCCCACCCTTAACCTCCTGTTTCCTTTCTTTCCTGCGCATCCTCAGAGGGAGCGGCTGAGGAACATCGAACGCATCTGCTTCCTTCTGAGAAAGGTCAGAGGGGTCCTCCAGGTGGAGGGAGGGAGGGTCATAGGGAAAGGGGTTATCGGGTGAATGGCAGCAGGAAGGACAAGGTAGGAGCAGGCCTCCGTTCTTTGAAAATCTTCAGAAGCAAGAGGGACTAATTACAGGAGGTGGCCTTCAGTCAGATGTCAGCAAGACACTGGCTATGTCCACGGGCTCTCTGGTTGGAGTTGCAGGGTGTCCCTTTTCTGTACGATGATGGTTAGCATTTACAGCTCCTGCCATCTCCCAGTCTTTGTTCCTGTCTGTACTGGGCTCAGGATTTTAATGACACCTCCTGATGTAAGGAAGATTTTAACTAGATGCCGGGTGTCTTGAGGTTCAAACCTGTCACTCAGCTTTGCAATTTGGCCTTTCGGCAAGATCACTGGGTGTGTTGGAGCGGTGGGACAGGAAAGTGCTGTCACAGAGGGGCAGTAGACCACAGCCACTCCAAGTTTCTTCTGGAAGTACGTGTGCACTCATGCCACCCAGGCTGGGCATTTGGCATTGTCTGTTCAGACTCTGCCCTTCTCCAGCCAGGAAATTAGGTCAGCAAAGCCTAGAGAAGAGGGACTCACGGGTGAAATAAGCAAGGTCCATGGCCTTGAGCCAAAGGCTGTCCCCGGCCTCAGTACAGAGTGGAGGGTACTAGCCACAGGAAAGCCATCATCTGCCCAAATATAACCTTTTGCAAAACCAAGGGCCCCACCAACACTGACATGGGAAAGAGTTTTACAAAGTTTTAAAATTCTTTTCTGTATTTCATTGGAGGGAGCCCAATCCAGAAGCCCATCATTTCTCTAGCTAATAACTTAGCCTTTGATGTTTTCTAAGAAACATAGTCTGTTAGAATTCTGCATCTTATTTGTCTCAGCAGGAATGCATGCTCAGATAAGAGCACGCATTGGATAATATTAGTGATCCAAGGAATAAAGAATGACTAAGAAAATAGCATATCATTTGCATTAAAAATGTGTAAATTGCTTCCTAGATAATATCACAGACACCGGTAATCCACTCCGGTCATCAATTCCATATTCTCTGGTTTGTTCTTTAAGATAATGCCTAAGTGACATAAGCCCGAGGAAGACAAAAATCAAACTGTTGTCTCTCAGACTCCAGGTTGCTGCCTTCCCATCCTGAGTGTATCACCCTGTGTTCTCTGGCAGGTGGTCACCCATATTCATGCCCCTTAGCCTTACTCAGCCTTCTGTTGCCTGACCGCAGACCGGCCACAGGAGGCGATGGCTGGTGGTTGCCCCATCAAGGTCCTGCTGCCTACAGTCTTGTGCCCTAGGCTTTTCCAAGGTCAGAGCAAGGATGTGGAGTAAGCTATCCAGGAATTTGCTTTGATATATGCAAATCTGCGTGTGGTTTGCATCTGCCCCTCTGAGCAGTGGACAGAAACGCTTTACTCAGGAAATGTTGTTTTCCAAGAGCCTTTTCCTTACCCTTTCCTTTCTGGCTGCTACCTCCGATGATAGTTAAACACAATTGCTGCTCACTGCAGTGGGCAGCATCAGGGAAGACAGTCCAAGACAGACATCAGAGAGCAGGAACCCTGAGCTGGCAGACTCAGGCACAGGAGCTACGTGAGATCATTCCCCTGCAGCCTCATGGTTCTCTGGCTCCATGGAGTGGCCAGCACTGTGGGGCTAACAAGTCAGATACCAGTCAAGTGCCTGCCACTTTATTCCTTCCAGGAGTCTTCCTTCTGCTCCAAGCTCTTGCCCCAAGCCTGGCTTTCGGCTTAAGATGCTATGTATTCTTTGCCTTTGTGTCTGCCTGCCCTGGGTACCCAAGACCGTTTTCATTGATGTCAGCAGAGCACGATTTCTTTCTGAGTATAATATTGAGTCAACAACTTCTGCATCTGGCCATTGGGAACCTGCTATAGTTCACATCTTCTTTAGCTTAACTTGGTAACTCTATAGGCTATTCCTACAGATATGCTCAGTGTACTCTGCATGAGGCCTGTCTCCGCTACTAGAAGGCTCAGGAAGGTCAGTGATGTTGAGTTGATCATCAGATAGGGTGACAGTGAATGGAAAGCAGTATGTGGCCTATTAAAGATGCTCACTCTATGTTTATTAAGTGAGTAAATAATAGCTATTTTGGTTCCTCTTGTTAGGAGAAATGCTGTAGTCTTCATTTTGGGCGTGCCAGGATAGTACCAAATATCTACGATGTACTGACCTCGCCCCTTAGAGATGGCATTTATTTATTTATTTAATTTATCTTTCTTTTTTTGTGTATGTGACAGGGTCTTATGGAGGAAAGGCTGGCCTTGAACTCCTCATCCTCCTGCCTCCACTTTGCTAGTGCTGGGACTACAGGTGTGTGCCACCGTGCCCAGACTGCCTGTGTTTTAAAATAAAAGCCGACTCCATGTCATACTCATTTTCAACTCAGAAGACTTTTAACTTGTAGCTTCTCTGGTCCTATTCGTTCCCTCTGTGTTCATATTTTCTGCCCTCTCTGCAGTCAGTATTTAGCTCCACCCCTCAATGTCTGCTCCCAGCCAATCCCAGTTTTTTTTTTTTTTTTTAGGATTAAAGGATGGTGGTTATCTTAGTCACTGTTCTGTTGCTGTGGAAAGATACTTTGACCAAGGCAACTGTTATGAAATAAAATATTTAATTGGGGGCTGGCCTGCAGTTTTGGGGGTTAGTCCATTATCATCATGGCAGGGAGCATGGCAGTATGCAGGCAGATGCCAGGGCAGTAGCAGAGAGCTACATCCTGATCTGTAGGTAGAGAGAGAAAGAAACAAAGCTAACTCCCAGTAACACACTTCCTCTAACAGGGGCACACCTCCTAATCCTTTCAAACAGTGCCACTTCCTGGTAACCAGCATTCACATATATGAGCCTACAGGGTGGGGGGATTCCTATTCAAACTACCACAATGGTGAAGTGTGCAAACATCCACCTTTCAATCCTGCTTCTACCCTTAGCATTTCTGTGACCTGTGGAGTATGGCTCAGGATGGCCCTCCTTTTTTTTTCAGGAGGGTAATACTGGGTATTGAACACTGGGTCTCATGCATACAAGACAAGTGATCTACCCTTGAGTCACTTCCCCAGGCCTCAGGGTAACTCTTAAGTGAGAGAACAAAACAATTCATCCTCATGGTGAAATTAGATAATATACACATGCAGTTCACATGTACTTAACACCTACTAAATGTCATTGTTAGTGACCTGCCCCTCACTCCTCCTAAAATCCTTTATGGCATTTCCATGGGCACACAGGTTGAGATGATTCTTTGGCTGGTGACATCCTTCCCTCATCTTAGGTAAGCACCACTTGATGTTCTGGAGACAAGGTTGTGAACAGACGTGGTACACAGCCTGGGCCCCTCCCTCCTGTTGTTTATGTTTCAGATGGGCTCCATTCAGATCCCCAAGCTAGGAGTTCGTGTTAGGGATAGCGTGAAAGCCCTGTGGATCTAGTTAGCATCCCCACCTTCTGGGAATTGTACCTTCCAAGAAATTTCTTGGAACCAGCCTCCCAAACAACCCAGAATGTGATATGTCTCAGCAGCTGATTGCTGCTAAGCCACCTCCTCGGCCTTCTTGAGAGAGAGGAAAGGGTTGCAAAGTGGATCCATTTTTAGCTCTATAGTTATCAGGAAATGTGTTCTTTGGGCAATTGAACGGCAGGGTGGTAGTGTCGACTTGGGCTCAGGATTCATGTTTTGTGGCTTCTTACGCAGCTCTCTCCACCCGGTGTGCAGTAGGCTCCGTGGGCTATTGTCCACTCTGGGAGACATGTCATGGGAGATTTGGCGGCTGCTCCTAGGCACACATAGGCTTCTCATGGCAGGCAGCCTGGGGAGGGGCAGGCATCTGTGAGTTCAAAGCAGTCTCAGGGAAGGGCTTAAGTGGAGCCAGCCCAAAGAGTTGCGAAGAGTATAAATAGGGGCCTGCTTTATTGGCAGCGATCCTCAGGCCTCGGATTTGGTAGTTCTGGGGTTCCGTTGGCTATTAGAAGAGCTATGGCCACGATGATTGCAGAGTTTGGTTGATCTTGCCCAAGGTGGGGGACTTGACTGCTTAGTTTGGAACATCTCTCTTGCTTGACAACTCTGGGATCTTTCTTCATGTCCTAGTTTCTCCCAGCGTATGTCTGGTTCCTCGGCAGGTTTTCTGGTGTTAGCGGATAGAATCAGCTCTGTGCACAGACAGCTTCCACTCTCTTGAGAATTCTCACGGAGATGTGGAGGAGTGGGTGGGGTTTGTGAAGGTAGTGGAGCTGGTCTCAGTGGGATGATTGGAGTGGGCAGATGCTCTCGTGTTCAACACTGGACCAACCACAGAGGCAGTAACACTACAGGTATCCCCCACATGCTCAGTGGCCCAAGCTTCCCAGACAGCCCCTCTGTCACAGGGAGGGGCCCAGGTATGAACGTATGAAATAAAGCTGCTGGTACCAGTTGAATCTATTGCAGAAACTCCATGGTGTGGCTCCAAAAGCAGCCACTTTCCCAGTGGAAGTCACTTCTGTTAAACAAGAAGGCTCTGTAGTCTCAATTTGCCACACACGGGTACACAAACCCTTATACACTGTATCCAGGGCTGGCTTCATGGTTTTCAGGGTCCAGTGAAAAATGACAATATAAGGCTTATGGAGAGAGAGAGAGAGAGAGAGAGAGAGAGAGAGAGAGAGAGAGAGAGAGAGAGAGAGAATTCCAAGAATCAGATAGCAGAGCATTCAAACAAAGAGGTTCTTTTCTGAGCCCAGCATCCTGTGCCACCACATGGGCCACATGTCCCTGCAGTGGGTTCCACCTGTGTCCATGCTCTCTCTTCTCTCTATTGAAGATGGGATTCTCCACAGGACCAGATTTGTCCGTGGGGATATGGCTAGATGTCTGTACATGTTGAGGCCTTGAGAATCCTCCAAGGCCTGCCCAGTGGTGTGAGGAGAATGAGACCCTGAGGAAGTCACCTGAGCCATCTGTCACTCAGAGCCAAGCCCACTAGT